CACAGTCTATCATTGTTCAATTCCGCCGCCGAACTACGTCGCTTGGCATATCCCACCTACCCAGCAGTCTACGAACAAGCACTCAAGGATACCCAGATTGGTCTCCTCTGCCTAAGTTGCAAAGCACCTATCAACAACCCTAAGAATAAGATGCGATGCGAAACGTGCAAGAGAGCCCAGGCTCCTTGCCCCATCTGCTGGAGCAGATACCCAGCTTTTGAACCTCCTATCGTGAAGAAGAAGTCCAAAGCAAAGTATCGCGCTACTATCAATGAACAAAACGTTCATAGACGCAACAGGTCGTCACTCACATCACATCAAGTCCCCGCTGCTGATGCCGCAAGGAGCGATTCTCCAGCCAACCCATTAGACTGGTCCCCACCGCCTGCCACACTCTGGACTTGGTGTCCACTCTGTGGCCACGGCGGCCACACAAACTGTCTTTCTACGTGGTTTACCGATTCCGTGCTTTCAGAAGGCGCATGTCCCACCGAAGGCTGCCTGTGCGACTGCGTGTCTGGGCTGCGCCGCGAGTATAAGATGGCAGATCTCGCGCGCAAAAAAGCGGAAAAGGAGATGGCCAAGGTGGTAAGGAAGGGTGATGATTGGAAGGTGGGGGAGAGCAGGGCGGTGGAGGCGGTAAGGGCAAAGGCGTTGGATGCGTTGGGTGAGGGACAGCAGGAGGAGCTGGGCGTGGAGGGAGGGGGACGGAAGAGAGAGGAGGCAAGGAGAGTGCGTGTAAGGGTTCCGGGACGGAGCGATAGTCCAGCGATTGGCACTGGTGCTGGAACGCTCTCGAGTGGGCCGTCTCAAGGTTCGGCAGGCTCGACGTTTGGCAAGGCATCGAGGTCGTAGCCTCTGTGTCGTTATACACATTCGACCTGTTCGACGGTTCCTATATGTTGTAATACTCGACATTGAACCCACTGCCCTACAAGGTACATGGAATCCCATTCTCCACATTTGTGCTTACCGGAACCCATGCCCAAGCGCCCCAAACAAGCGTTGCACAACCACTGGCCACGGAGCTGCCCGCATCCCGCAGCAGTGGCAGCACGCGTCCCGCATCATGCACACCGCTTGTGTGCCCACAAGGGCCAGCCAAGCCCCCACCTCACCCGTGCACAACCTGCTCCCGCTTCCCCGGATATGGGACGACTAGAGTAAGATATAACTGTAGGATATTCTGCAACGTTGGGCTGCACCCCCCCCCCCCCTGTCCAAGTTTGACGAATCACCAGGCCCAGGCCCAAAGCAGCGATTCGTCAAACTTGACAGGGGCGCAACCCGACGTGCAAACATCCTGTATGTATTACGATTTCGTGGCGCCCTTTGTGGGGCTGCCACGTTGTGCATTGCACATGGCGTGTTACTTACCGACTTGTGGCTGGTGGTACAGTTGTGGGTACCGAGATTGACGTGCGGATGATGGAATGCGTAGGGCTGATGTTGCATGAGTAGTTGATGCGCTGGCGAGACAAGGTTACGAGTGCTTGAAGCAGAATGCAATGATATAGCCGTCATGCAACGTGTTGATGAGGTGTTGCTTAGGAAGGTTTACTGTGCTCTTGGGCCTGGGTCATATGTACACGGATATAAGTGTGGCCAGTCACCAATCCACCGGGCTCGCTAAATGGGCTTTCTCTCGTTGGCGTGCATCCCTATTCCCAATCGACTTGCTACTACTGCTGTGCAAGGTACAGAAGCCGTCGCGTGCGACCTGTCTCTTACTGATCCACGTTGCACACGCTATGTCAAAGATACCAGATGACCTACCGAGCTATGTATCGGCACCAATCTAGGCCTTTCCAAACACTCCGACTCGTGTTTGCTGCTCCTTATTCCGGAAGCTAGAGAATCTCTATACGTAAGAAGCTACCAATACTCGCGAGTGGGTGAGAACATCACGGACACCCTCGCCATTCGTTTTGATATGATGAAAAAGGTACGTGGTTATCGTATATAGATCTGGACTTGTTCAAGATGTACTGTCGCCATCCTCGAGCACTTCTGATCGGTGGCCTTGCCATCGGTGTGACTCACGTACTCCCGTAGCGGACCGCTGAGGACGCACCACGCGTTGCGAATCTCTCGCGATCCGCGCAATTCCCGCCACCAGGGTACCTGTCGATGTACATTACTGGGATCAGAGAGATACATGCGATTGTGCGAATATTGAGGTCGTGATATCTTACAGGGTAGCGGGGTTACGGTGCCGTATCAAAGGCATTGTCTTATGGTTGGACATTATGGCCATGTCGCAGGTAGTCGGGTTGTATGCCATATGAAGAAAGCTGCTTGACCACCGTGTAGTATCGATTTCGGTGGTGTCGCATATAGTTAGACAAGGATGTACTGTGTTTTCTATCGGACTGCACATAACCATGACCATTTATCAAAAACGCGCGAGCAACAGTATCTTCTCCGGAGGTTTTCGGGTGAAGATACGTGTGCCTGATTGCATGAGGGCACGTCAGTTGAATACGTGTATTGTACTGCATGACCGTCCCGGCAAAGTTCCGGACGCAGATTGCGGTACGAGCGCATGGGTAGCATTGACACAGCGCATAAGACGCTGGCTCCCAACGACGCATTATGTGATCGTAGTAGTTAGTACTAGTGGTGTAAACTCCCTGCACTTGCCAAAGGCGGATCCGCACCAGGTGTTTCTTGTGGATCTGCGCGTACGAAGATGATAAGCCTTGGATTGGGCCAATTCATCGTGTTGAACAGGACCATGACACGACTGTGTGATGTATGTCGTCGGCAGACTTCTGACAGCATCGCAATAAATGTGCATCCTGTGACATGGAAAATGGAGTGCATGTATCTGAATTGTGTCGATGATCGATAGCGGGTACTGTGCTTGAGAGGGTTGGCGCAACGAATATCTGAATGGGGGCGTCACGTTGTAGCTTCGCAGCGTCGAATCGTCCTGTGCGGTTGCGCTGCGGTCAGTGTACAAACTGTCCAGTCAGCTATAGGTTAACCCAGCTCGACGTCAGTCCATCCACATCACTCTTCAGGATGCGACTGCAATGGCCTTGGAAATGCATTTGTGAATTTGGTGGTATGTCTGTCTCAATCGACTGCCATTTATCGTGATACCGTTGGTCCTCGTGAAAAAGGTGATGAAGGCCTAAGTCGCCGTGAAATGCATGCCTATGCCTTCGAGAGGCAGTTCAGATTCCGAAATCCTGTAACACGTCAGCCAAGACGTTCATTCCACTTCCAATCTGCGTTGTATGGGTCATACCTCTACCCCATGTCCCCGAACATCTACCGGGACGCGCTCCAGACAGACTTGAGAAAGCCGTCCTTCTGTGTGAGCCTGTTGAAGCTGTCGTCGCTCTCGCCCATGGCGCGGACGAAGCCGGAGAGGGCGTAGACCTGGTTCTCGCCGGTGTAGCGACCGTTCTCGTCAACCTTGCCAACGCTAAGCTGGACAGAGGCGTGGTCCTTGGCCTTGATGATGCGTCCGGTGGCCGACTGGGGCGAAGTTAGCATCGCGCATTGACGGGCAGATGTGTGTTGCGCAGGCACTCACGCATTTGCGGGGGACGTAAACTACGAGACATGTTAGCAGTCATGTTTGGCAAGCCACAAAGTGTTGGTGGGGGTCTGGAGGTGCGCATCCGCATAGCGACCATACGTGTCGGGAATATGCTTACGGTCGACGAGCTCTCCGCGTTCGTTCTCCATTTTGATCGATGTGTAGATTGACGGCGGGAAGGTCTTGGGTGTGGCTGCGTGTGGGAAGTCGATGTCGTCGGCGCACGTCGAAATTCGAGGTGCGGTAAGCGAGGGTCCCACTAGCGCTGCCTTTCTTGGCCTAGCGCGCGCACCTCGCAAGTGCTACTACCTGAAAGATGCTTCTGCTTTACCACGAGAAGTCAGGGATCAACAATTCGTCAAGCAGTAGAGTAGAGCATCATATGCCTTGCAAGTTGACTGCACTACAACCATCAGGGCGGTTCGGTGGTGTGCAGAAAAAGGGCAGTGAGAGCAGTTTTTTCAAGTCTTGCTCGTCAAACATCGTCAGGATCGTACATTCTGAGCGGATCGCATATCAAGTCGCACACCACTCTTTCGGCATACTCAAAAGCTTGTCTGCTCTGGCTCACCGTTGCAACGACATAGGCTCTTCGCAAGCTCCAATGAACAACAACATACTCTCAAAATAGCCTAAATTTCACAGTGTACGCACTACGGGGTACGAAGATCTGACTGTCGGAGTCTCGTCTATATTCGTCAGTCTCCCTGCTAAATTGAACGTCTTTACAGTAGATGATCAGCCTTCATGAGGCGGATGCTTCAAAAGATATGTGCTTCTTCGTACCCCCATCTAACCAAGGCTATGTTGCCACGGCTATCTTACGGCTATCCCACTTGCTAATTCATCATTGTTGATTGTATTGCTCTAGCTCTGTGCTTATGCAATCTCCGGATCCAAACAATCTCGATGAGAACCTAGCTCAACGCCGCAAAGAGATCAGGGCCATGGCAGCATGCCACTGGCGCTGGTCCGCTCCCAGCTTTAATGCCTTGATCAAGTCTCCATGTTTACTAGCCGAACGAGTTATAAGTGTGCTAGGCTCAAACTGATATGCAGACATCAAACGCCGTACAACCTTTGCAACTGCGGCTGGCAGGAATTTGTAATGTGAGCGTTAGTGCTCCTTTGTGTAGGGAACACAATGTCTGCAAGTTCTTAAGCATCATCCATGTCACTATGTGATCCAGTTCTACAAGATCGAACTTCTTGGATGAGTTGTTGAACTACATCTCAATCATGCGGCACCGCAGACATAAAGAATAAAAATGATAAACAATTTGTTCTGCATAGTCAGAAGATTAGTCTATTACAATGTATTTAACCATAGCTTCGTGTTCTGCGAAAGAAGTTGGTGCTGTGGTGGTGTTTCCCTTTTGACACCACTACGTCCACCACTACCACAACCACCACCACCACCGTGATCCTGATACCGCAAAAACAATATTGCATCGGCCGGGAATCGAACCCGGGGCTAGCCGAGACTGCGACATACAGCTCTCATGGAATGGACGTATGGCAACGGCTAATTTTACCACTAAACCACCGATGCGAATGAATCGTTCGATGAGATTAGCACGAGACATTTGAAACCCCATGGTAGAACATTATTCGCAAAAAAAATTATAATTCAAGTGGTAGCTCCGCGTACAACTCCCGTCAGCCCTTGTGCAGAGACTTCATTAGAATGTTCTACTAATTCTATATATAGAATAGTGGGGCACACTACAATCATACTATTTTACTGCTGTTATAGCGACAATATTGACAGAGTCTTTGAAGGCTGGATCTTCTCTTGAAGCGTACTCTCTTTTGGACCACCATGTTAGAACTATCAAAGAAATCTATTCCACGGTCCTTCTGAAGCCTGATCCAGGCCTCTGAGATGTCTCGGGACAGTACAAGTGAAAAGCACACTTCGGAAAATAGACCAATTAGGGGGCTGATCGCGGGTTTTATGTGGGTCCTCTATCAGGGCTTCTTCAGAACAAGCTTTCGCTCTTCACTCACAAACTCCTACTCCTTCACGTACTTTTTATTGTATCTTGTAACCTTTACCTCTACCTCTAACCCTAACCTCTCCAACTCCAACTCTAACTCTAACTAACACTTTTACTCTAACAACCCCTAAGACTAACCCTAGTCTTTGTACTAGTTGCGGTGTTATGGTGTTGTGGTGTTGGTGTTGGGCAGGCCTAATTGGCCCATTCCGAAGTGTACTTTTCAATCATACTGTCCCGAGATATCTCGTCAGGCCTCTATCCCCCTGAGCTCAAGTCGGCCATGCTTGCACATTATGATCGATCTGAAATCTGAAGGACTCTACTGCATTTGCGTATGTAAAAGACCATATCTACAGTACTGTATGCGTTGGAAACAAAATCTTTCTTGCCATCGGCCAGATGTCATTCGATCACACCAAGCGCACCCTGCGCGCGTGTCTTCAACTTTGCGACCTCACTCGGAGTGAGGTCCTTGAAGCCATGTGGAGCCCAACAATGTGGAAGTACCCACATATCAATATGGATTTCGTGCGAATACTGCTCAAACCAAAGCTGTTGTGGAACTCGTGTACGCAAGAAGCTGTCGTTCGGGGGGAGATACAATGTCTTCTACTAGGTGAAAAAGTATAGCGTTGGACACAGCGAATGCAATGCCATCGACGAGACTGAAGGTTGCGGTCCGTCTTCCTGGGTTCGAAGTGAGGATTGTGAAATGCGGGTCTTTGGAGGTGTTGCAAGGTCATTCAGGCTTGTTGTTTCGTATGGAATTCAGAAGTGTGAAAGCAGCAGTTAAACCTGGTACACGTTGCCTGACGATTGGCCTCGACGAGCTGCTCTATGTGATATCCACGTGCGCGTGTTATGTCTGACTAGCCTTGGCAGTAAGACTTGGGGATGCATCGTACGCTCGAATTTGTGCCGCGAGAACTTGCTTGTCGACCCTCTCCTCAACAGCTCTCACCATCTTTTCAATTTGTTTTCGAAGACTCCCGCCAACGACTGATTGCCTCGCATGTGTGACAGCTAAGTCATGTTCAGTAGGTCCCAGATATGGCGCAGGAAGGACATGTAACGGGGTCTCGCTAGGGGCTGGCTTTTCTTGAAGATCTGCCATGATTTCGAGATAAAAGATTGCACAAAGATGTTGTTGCGATATTGTGAAACGAGATGAACGAGCGATACTTGAAGTCTTCGCAGCAACTTATCTAGAAGGAGGCCTCGCCTCGAGAAGGTACCAGACGTATGCCAACAGTCACAACGATCAACCTGACTACGCGGACAATGCAAAAATCGGCGGTATCATTGTCTTGTCGTAGTTCAGGTGGCTGAGACCTGTCTGAAGGCAAGATGACGACCAATCGGATCCGTGGGTTTCGCGGGTCCGGACTTCCAACGGACAAAATAGCGCTATTAGCCATCATGTTAGATGGCAAGTCGCTTGGCTTTCACATCCGAAGCTACAACTGGACTATACGCGCGGACAAAGCGTCACCCTCTCTCTTTCATTATGACGGATCGGCTGTGACGACATGTTTGTAGTCCGCCAGAGACCACTAACTCCCCATATCTGCAACGAAAAGCGGACGGGCCAACCCCTTGGTCTACGTGACCTATGTTCATCTTGATCTCGGGTTTTGACATTGTCATATACCGAGCTATACGAAGGAGTTCGCTTTTATTGTGTCACTATCTCACTTCATAAGCACAATGCGCCAGCATATACAGTAATAAAAAGGTAACACAAAGATGGAAAGTTACAACATTATATTCTCTACTACTCCTTGAGAATTTAAGTAACATTTTATTGCTTTTAGTAGCATTTTACTGTGTTGGCGTGGCTGCGGTGAACAGTGTAAGTAACTTTAGTGACTCGGTAAATACGAGCTCCTTCGTATTGCATCTCATGAAGAGGACAATTGACGCTCTTGGCCCGAATTGAACAGACCCGACGGATCCTACGTAGGGCGGCGCGGATCTGTACCTGCAGTATACCGCGGCCAGCTTTTCGAAAGATCCTGGCTGTCATAATTATTCAGCGGCCTGCTTCCTTTAAGTTACTGTGTCTCAATCCCGTCATTATCGTTTATTGACGCGAAGAAAATTTCCATTGAAACGAGCCTCTGGCGTGCGTGCTTTTTCACTATCCTTGACGGCACTTCAACAAATCGTGTCGGTAGAAAAACAACCAGCGTTGCCTTGATAATGTTCTGGAATCGGGATGTTTGTCTAAGGACGCTCGGGATCTGTGCTAGATATCTGTGATGTGTTTTGTCAGCACCTTGCTCCCCTGTTTTTGTGATTCTGATACGTCATCACGTTGGTACCAAGTGCTTACTGCGCTTCTTCTGAGTACATCAAGTTCTCTCTACCAAACGACAATCGAACAATCGATATATGGTGGCGGAGATACAAAGTGCGTAATGTCACCGGAAGGCATACTGGGCCGATTAGCAGGCTTCTAGGACTATCGGATCCAGGTCGAAGTAAGCACTCTGTCTCTGCAGTCATGTGCTCAAGCTGTGACTGTTTCAGATGACTTCGAAAATCGAAGTGGTTGCTGATCTCGACGTATCCGTAATGATCCGCCCCATGCTGTTCATCATTATAGCGATAGGTGAAACTGCGTAGAGTTGTTTGAAATGCTCTACGGAATGCATGGACCAAACAGCGAAATACAGGTACATTCAGAACGCAACTGGAATCACCCCCATCCGAGCTGTGCAAGGCGAGGTCTTGCACGTTTGTGAAGGCCCGGGCAAACACCTCAATGTCGTCGCACGTCTCCCATGGGTCTGCAGGGTCGGCTAGAGAGATATCCAATGTTGTAATAGTGTTGTTCACAGCGTCCATAACGCCATGAGAGTTGGTCTCGGTACATTGGAACTGGACACCCGAGAGACACAATGTTGTGATGGTAGGAAGTTTCAGAAAGGGCGTGAGATCCAATAGCTGGACACGATCCAGACAGAGCCCCAAGGTTCGAAGATTGGGCAAATGAGACAACCACCTAATTAGTGGGCCCGCAACGATTGGACAGTCGACTACGACAGCTTTAATGTGGTAGCGTAGCTGTGGCCGAGCATCCAGGAGCTTGACGATGTCCTCACCAGTGTCCGATAGATCGACGCCACTGTTAAAGTGAATCGAGCGATACAGATGAGGCTCGCTGATGCGATGCAGTTGTCGCGATACTCTTGAGAGGTTCAGTATATCGGTGTAATCGCGGGAGCGTTTGCTGATCTGGGCTGCTGGAACATAAGAGACAATCTGATCCAGCAGCTCCTCGGAAAGGCTATTCATACGCGTCCGAGGGCTCCAACGTCTGCGTGGGCTTCAGCGAGGGTTTGCGATGGTGCTTGTAGGTTGTTTTGAATGACCCTTACCGGGCTGTTCTCAAAAGTCGTCATGTTTTCCTTCCGTGCCGCTCAACGTCGCGTACCGCACAGCATCGCGTACCACGGAATTTAATTCACTATGAGTCTAACTAATTAATAACGTAATAACGTACTCCACAAGCGAGTGGCTGGGCTCTGCCAAGACCACACCAAAACGTACTCTTGCAACAGTACTGCATAACTAATAATAACAGTACGTAGAAATTGTAGTAAGCTAATCTATTTAGAAATATGTTCTACTTCTTACTTGTATATACGCGCGTTATGCCTACCTTTACTACAGCGTCTATAGCGCTATTGCGTAGGTTTACCTCTTTTAGCGCGCACTTTTTTTAACGCCTTTTTTCTATTACTACGCGCTATAAACTTTTTTAAAGTTATTAAATATAAGCCTTTTTTAACTATAAAAGTATTTTTTTTCTATACTTACTTTTTTTTATATAATTTACATTATATAGCAGCTTTATTTATTATTTAAAATTTAATAATTTTATTATATATTAATACTATTTAATATACTATTAACGCTATGCTTTTACTAAACTTTTTAAATATATTAATTATAGTAGTTAGTAAACTATCTATATACTTTTAAATTTTTTTTTTAAAAAGCTTTAATTATAATCTAAATTATAGAGTATTATTTAAAGTCTAGAAGTACTAGAGTTTATTATTAATAGTAGAAAGTAATAGTGTATATAGTTTAATATTAAAGCTAGATATTATAGCCTCTAGATTAAAAAAAACTAAGTCTATATTTTAAAAGCCTTTTTAAATATTATTTTAAATAATAGTAGTATTAAAAGTAGTAATAAAGTATAGTAAAAACTTAATTTTAGTAATATAGTTAATCTAGTTATATATTAGATTTTTAGCTTAGTAGCTATATAACTTTTTTAAAAATATAAAATAACTAATATTAAATAGCTATAAAAAGTATAATAAATAAAAAAATATATAAAAAATTATAATTTTATATTTTTTATAGTACTAGTAGAAGTTAAATAAGTTATAGCTTTTATAACTATTAACTATAAATAGATATACTATACTAATAGTATATTTTTTTATATACTTATTAAAGTACTTTACTTAGTTTAAACTAAGTCTATTATCTATCTAGCTATTTTTAGAGACTATAAAAGCCTAGTTTT